TTATTCATTGCGTTAAATGCCAACGGTTCTTTGAGAATTCTGTTAAAATTTCTCTTGGAACATAAATTGTAATTTTCTTAACTACATACTAACACCCGAATTCATAAAAAATAAAGAAGACTTTAATAGCTTTATAAAACGAAAATTTATGAAAATATCACTTTGTAGAGCTCTATAAATCCATTTTATTTATTTTTTTTGATTAATATTAATAATAAGATTCTTACATAAGCCACTTTTTTGTAGCACATTATTCAACTGGAAATTCCTAGGCCGTGAATATATGTAGATCTGTGGGGCTCTGAGGAATATGGCATAACCACCAAGATATTAAGATCTGCAGTTGCGAATAAAAATCAAGTGTGAGAACTGTAGTTAAATCACATAAGAAACCTTCTTCAGCATTTTTTCAAAAAGAGTAACAGAAAGTATTCTATAATTCCGTTCACGTCAATTTACATGAGACCAGATTTTCATGATTAATCAAATCCTAAAACCCTTACAAATTTCACATTAATGCACATCTTGCATGCATTGACTTTGAACAAGTTTTTGACAATATGCACTGCATAAGCTGGTCAAAAGCTTTCGGATGTCCATGTTTAAACAATAAATTGCAACGCATCTTTGACACATTTCAGTGAAAAAGTGATTGAACAGCCGTCGTAATTGGAAAATTTTGATATTAACGGCTCCACACTCATGTTCCCTGGTGAAGTCAATCAGCTGGACTAATGAAAGTCCTTAAAACAAACAAGCCATTAAGCTGCTTTCACTGAATATGTCTTAGGGTTCCGTAGCGGAGGCAAGGATTGAGACTATTTAATTTCTCCAAGGGATACTCATCTTCATGGAAGTCAGATGACGATTACACATTCCGCTCCGCCGACATGAAAGCTACAAAATGTGAGAGTAAATTTTTCTATGTAAAACAGGTTTGTAGCTGGAATCATGATAAAAATATAGTAAGGTAGAACCGCTGAGAGTCACTTTTGAAATTCTTGACGTTTCCAAACAATTTAATTTTTACATTCACTCACAAACTCACACACACATTTTCATTTTCAATCTCAAGCAACAACAATTTCGAACAATTTCAATTTTTTATTTTCACTTTCATATGATTTTAAAATGTTGGCAAACTTCAAACAAAAATCATGGCCGACAAATTGAGAGAACGGTTATACCTTGCTTTGTTTTTATCATTGCTGGAATTATAGCCAACGAAAATGCCAAAAGATATGCTGTAGAATATGACAGCTTAAAATCGGCTGGTCCAGTTGGCACCCTGCCAATTTTATTTATGGAATATTTTGAAGTTGTGTAGCCGGAAGAAATTCATTGCATAGTTAGCAATTTATTGTATGCCAAACTCGTTGATGTCGCCTTCATAATAATAATAATAGATTGGCGCTTACACATATGTTAGTGTTTGGCCGAGCTTCTCCTCCGGTTTGTGGCGTGCGCCTTGATGTTGTCACACAAAGCGGAGGGACCTACAGTTTTACGCCGACTCCGAACGGCGATTGTATTTTTATGAGAAGCTGTTTTTTCATGGCAGAAATACACTCGGAGGTTTGCCATTGCCTGCCGAGGGACGACCGCTGTTAAGAAAAAACCTTTTTCTATATTTTTTGGGATGTTGCTTTGACCAGGGCTTGAACCCAGGTGCTGATGTGTGAAAGCGCGCACTGCTTACCACTACACCACAGCGGCGATGTCGCCTTCATGCCAAAGTTTATTTCTAAAGGCTTGCTGGCATGGCATCCTCCATGATGGTATGCCTGGAAAGGTTAGCTATGCCGCGGATTCATAGCAAATAACATTAACCAAATCCTCTGTTCCAGCATAAATATGCCTATCAGATAAGAACATTTTGTGTTTGCCAAAATTAGCAACGCCACAAAATAAAAGAATTTTATTTGGGCGTCTTGGTTCAAATGTCGGATTGTCTTATAATGGCACCTCGTACAGAATTTGCAGCCAGGATCTAAGGCAGGAAGTAAATTCTTGGCGCGTAGGATTACGGCAGACGGACCCCAAAATATACCACTTACGGAGGTCACAGGGGCTGTTCTTAGGATGGTGTGCTCTCCCCCTTATACTGGTGGTTGGTAATAGCTCTAATATCTACGCTCAGGGTTTCGGCCTTCCTTATCGTAAAGAACACTGAATTTTTTCGAACTTTGCTGTATTGAAAATCGTCTGCCAGCTAACCCAACTAAAACTTGTGCCGCACTCTGCACTAGAACAGGTATGATGGGCGGCCTTTTCCTTTTTCCCTTAAAGGAGCCACTATTCAGGTTTCTTTGGAAGATTTAAAAGATCTGCATGTACTAAAACTCATTCTGATAATGTAAACAGGTCTTTGGCAACGAATTTATGACTCTGTGATAAGACCTATTATTAACTATGCAGCTGTGGTATGGTGGTGTAGGCTGGTACTGCTCCAGGTGTACACAATAGCTGACTTAACTGCATAAATTCTAATTTAAAAGAAATATATTCACCAAAAACATAGTAGTAGCAATATCTCAGGCATTCTTTAAAAATATATCAGCACTATTCATCAATTCATTCCATTTAAGAAATTTTTATTTATTTATGTACATTTTGCGCACTTGTAACTTAATTTACAGTAACCTAGAAAAAGAAAACGTCGGTTGGCACCATTCAAAATTTCATATATTTTCAAGTAGTCATATTTCATAGCCCGACCAAAGTTTCATCTCATCAGCAGCAACATCATCGACTACATCGACATCTGCAATGACATGCCGTCCGCACATCCATCTGTACATAAAATTCTAAACGAATTTCTGCTTTTTGTCATAAATTTTTATACCATCGTCATCGTAAATATTGATGAGGGTCATTTGTTGTTATTATGACTGCGAGCGTTGCTCTTATGGCTCGCATAGCATTGTCCGTTTTTAATGCTGTTTGGAGGTATATAACTACATAGGTGCCATTGTCAATAGTGTAATTTTTTGTGATACCCCTTCTTAATTTCGTATCTCCTCTCCACTCTACATAACACTGACTTTTTATTATATTTACTTTTTCAATTTTATTTAAATTCTTTTTTTGCGCCACTAAATCATTGCAATTTTTAAGAATACTTCTGCGCTCCCGAAAAAAAAATTATAAATAAATTTACTAATGAAAAATGACAAAAAAGTATAGCAACGTTGGCCTCGTTCGCCTGCTGAAGCATAGCTAAAGGAAATTGCGTGAATTGCTGGCGAAGCGTGCAGCATTTTTCACAATTTTGCATTGCGCTTTATTACTTAAAATTTATGTATGTTTTTTTTTGTACTTTCTTCTAGCATTTCAGCGCTCTTTAGGGTCATAATTTATGCGGACTTATTAAATTTTTGTGGTTATAGAAAATATGATTGCTTGCGGCAGTTGGGGTGTGTGTCACACTGCGTTTGTTGTTGCTGCTGCTATAATTTTGTTTTGATGACTTAGTTATTACAGATTTTCTCCATCTTTTTGTCTATTTGTTTTGAAAAATTTTTTCTGCATTGAGTAAAGCAGTCTGTTGATTTAGTGGCTCTTTAGTAATTTGTTTCCTTTTTGCTGCTTTTTTATTGCCTTTCAGCGTCATTTATTTAAAATAGCTTATTAGATTGCCCTGACGAACGTCAGTAATGGGAACCAAGTTAATTATCGTTAAATTACTTTAAAATAATGGATTGGAAACGTTTTTTGGTTTTTAATGATGAAGCGAATGATATATGTATTTTCATAATGTCTTGGCAAAGCAAGAATAGCGGACTAAGAAATAGGTTTGAAGTACAGGTACACAGAGAGAGCCACTCAATGAAAATATGCAAGGCCCCCTTCGATGATTTTATCTACCAACTGAAATCGTGCAAAATTTACATTTCCATTGTCTGTGCCACGATGTGGAATGCAATTTCCTCATCCCTTTAAATTTTGGTTTGGAAACTAACCCATTTCGGTTTTTTGCCATCTTAAGACTCATTTAAGTTTTTCAAAAAATCAAAAAGAAGCCTTATTTTAGAACGAAAATGTTTTTAGTAACATTTCATTTTTTGAAAATTATCTTTTTTTCTTTTAATTTTTTAATTTAGTTTTCTTTTAGTTTTTAAATTTTATTGTTTTAAAAATATTTAATTTAATTTTTAGAATTTATTTCTTAATTTTTTTAGGTCCTTTCTGTTTTTAATCTAATTTTCTATAATTTTTAGTTTTTCAAAAAAAAAATATTATTTTTTTTATTAATTTCGTTTAGTTTTTAGAAAAGTTATTGCTAAAAGACAATTTAAATAACGCAAAGATAGCGCTCATTCAATTAGTCTTTCGACAGAAAAGCGCTTTCAAAATAATGGCCAAAATTGACAATTGTAATACGAAAGCTTTTTGTCTATCGAAGAACTAGGGTGAGTTGAAAACAAATGCCTGAATTGGCCTGGTATTGTTTGTCTACTAGCAGTTTCTAAAAATTAAATTGAACTAAAAGTTTCTCCTCCAAAACAATGAAATCTAAACACTAAAAGAGAGTTAGATAAAAAAAAAGTTTTAAAAAAATTAAACGAATTTTAAAAAAGTATAAAAATTTCTAAGAGATAAAAACAAATTTAATTGAAAAAGGAAAAAAAATTACATAAAAAAACTAAGAAAAAGATTCCCTTCTACAAGGATTCGTACTCGGATTCCTCGAATGGAATGCCAGTGATCAAATATTAACTAATAGATTTAACGATCATTGAGTGCTCGTCAGAAAATGGGTGAAATTTTTTAATTAATTATTAATTGGGTTGCCAATATCTCCCACAACAACGCGAGGGTGTTCATTATACCTTCATTTACTAGCCACCAACCTTCGCTTGACATAGGTAGCTCTTTTCCTGCAAATACATTTTAAAACCCATTTTTTATTTACGTAATTGTTAAGTACTTAATTACTTGCTGTCATCTATATAAAACATCTGTCTAATTTTTTTTCTTGTGCTTTTCCGTTTTTTCAGAGTCCACCTGCGGCATTGAGCAATTCAGATGCAACAATGGCTTTTGCATACCGAAGAGATGGCGCTGCGACCAAGAAAGAGATTGCGCCGATGGCTCCGACGAAGCACCGTCGCTGTGCAGTAAGTTGAGATTGTTATTACAAAAATTGATTAAAAGAAACAAAACAAAGCTACAAACATATTTACACTAACGCACTAAAAATTAAGGACGCACGGACTAGAAAAGGACATAAATTGGTTTAAATTAGAAAATTTATTAGTTACAATACAAAATATACATTTGAGTAACACAATATACAGTTCAAAAGCTTTTAATTAAAATTTAAAAAAAATCTCTGTGTAATTCCATTATCACTACAATTACACTATTACCTAATTCACAGTGAATTTATGCACTTCGTTCGAGGTAAAGTGCAAGAATGGCGAGCAGTGTATACCACGTTTGTGGGTATGCGATGGCAGTAACGATTGTCGTGACAAATCCGATGAAGCTGATTGCAGTAAGCAATTATTTTCAATTTATATATCAAAGATATAAGAAATTGAGAACTAAACTAACAAAAAAAAAACAAAATTTAAAAAAAGGAGGATTTTACATTACGGAATGCGAAAGTACTAATAAAAAGTAATGATAATATTATAGCTATGAAAATTGAATTTAAGAAAAACATATAGAAATAAGGAGATATATTTTACTGCATGCAAAGACATATTTCGGATAGAATAATATTTTAGACCATCAGATGCATATAAAAAATGACTAAATCTCATTAAAAAGCCTCTCTAGTTCACGTTTAAGCACAAGAAAGTGCTTTCATTTATTGAAGCCTCAACTGTTTGTATATTACTTCATGCATTTGTAAATATGTAGAATATTATATTTTTCAAACTTACTTACATAATTACTTTTTTTAAGAATACGTTTTATTTGCTGCCCAGCATATGGGCCCGTGCATTAGGATGGGTCAATTTGTATGGGAGATTTGTTCGATAATGCGTAATTCTATGCAAATTTGTCGAAGAAACCATGGGCCTAAAATCAATTTGGAGTGGGAAAACAGGTTCCTTAGCATTTTGCGGTAGTGCAGTAAAGAAGTGCTTAAACTTCCAGCAGAGGGCGCTACAATGAAAATTTGGCATTTTCTTCGAAACCTATTTTTGCAATTTGACAAACTCCAAATTGTTTTTAGACCCATTGTTTCCTCGGCAATTTAGCCTACTGTGCATACACATACTCATAGCTCCTGCGTATTTAAATAGAAGATAGTATTAAAATGAATAAATTAAAAAACCATAGCATTTCGCGTGCAAAACTCAAATTTACTCCAAATCACCAGCGACAGCATTTTGTCGTCACTTAACCGACTGTATCCTGCATAAGACAAAGCCACAGGATGCGCCTCATAACGCGGCACATGTTAGGCGAAGACGAACGGACGACGGGATGTCCGTCGCAAGGCGAAACTTGCGTTGCTGGATAGAGCACAACCCCAGCCAAGTAATCAGCCAACTAACCAATACAACAAACAATAATAGCAAAAAAAAAACATCTAAATACGCAGTAGGCTCCCATTAGAGCGCCAAAGCTGAGTATTTTCGCTTTGTTAAGCGGCTGCTACTGTCGCGTAATTGGAGCTTTTGGTCGTTGCCTGCGTGTGCGCGACTTTTTGTTAGCTCATTTGCTCGTGGTTCCGTTGAAAGTTTTATGCTTGGGTTTTTCAACTTCTGCTTGTCATCTTCCATTGTTACGTGTTCGTAATTGTTGTTCTTCCTCTTATTTGCTATTTCTATGGCGCGCCAAATGCTTTGAAAACATCTTGAGTAGCGATTTATACACTGAGAAAATCTAATAAATTATAAATTAATTTTTTAATATGATATCTTCATACATATGTACACACATTAGAAAAACTTATTTAAATGGCATATATTTTTAAAAATTTTCAGAAATGAATGCACGCAAATAAGTAACTAATTAGTATACATAAACGGAAATAGAATGTGGCCGCTGTGGTGTAGTGGTAAGCAGCGCGCTTCCACTCCACAATGCCTGGGTTCAAACCCTGGTCAAAGCAACATCGCAAAAATATAGAAAAAAGGTTTTTTTCTTAACAGCGGTCGTCCCTCGGCAGGCAATGGCAAACCCCCGAGTGTATTTCTGCCATGAAAAACAGCTTCTCATAAAAATACAATCGCCGTTCGGAGTCGGTAGACTGTAGGTCCCTCCGCTTTGTGTGACAACATCAAGGCGCACGCCACAAATCGGAGGAGAAGCTCGGCCAAACACTAACATATGTGTAAGCGCCAATCTATTATTATTATTAAACGGAAATAGAATACTCCATGGATGTGAAAAAGTTAGCTCGTATATTTATTATATGGCCTACTAAATTTTTCACGTCCCGGCCTAACTAGTTTTCAAAGAAATTAAAAAAAGGTAGAATAAGTATCTGAGCGAAACTAATGGTTAATACATATAAATAGTCATATTTCATGGGAAATATTTTTATGTTAAAATAACCCATTAACTCCCGCCTGAAAAGGTCGTCTTGACCCTAACTTCAAGAAATCCCGCAAAAAAGCAAATTGGCAAGCTCTTTAGAGGATTGATATATTGTAGAAAACTATTTTTCGGAAAATTTTACTAGTGGTATTCTCAGGCAAAACCTTCGTGCCGCCTACGTAAACGTCTCTAAAAAATGTTAATGAAAACTCTATGCCAGGAAGGAATAACAGAAAAATTAAATTTTGAAATAATTTTTATAGAATAAAACCAAGTTTTTTTTGCTTCTCTTAACAGCAACTAAGCAGATAGTATTGTGCTAAATACCAGGTTATTAGGACGTGTTCTGGAAATCGTGCCAATACATACAAAAATCTCGACATTGAACATTTTACTCGTAATATGTTTACGTTCCATTTTTTTACTTTAGCTTGGCTTAACTTTGCAAAAATTGTTAAAGCTTGCATAAGGTGCAGACTTATTTTAGTATTTTCTTTCTTTATTAATTCTAAAAACTAACCGTTTATTCAATTAAAATATTTAAAAGCGCACTGTACTCGTATTTTGAGCAAGATGGTTTGAATAAAAGCAATTTTTTTTGTTCTTTCTTTTTACTATATATCGAGTGGCCCTTTATTGCGTTAAGTTACTGGGTTTTCTGCTACTTTTTCTAAGAAGCTAAACGCCATTTGTTTGCAGTTTGTTGGTAAAAAGGAACAAGAAAAACAAATTTAAATACACTTCCAACAGGGAGATGACTAAGTAGTACAATGGATTTGTATATGTTAACTTTGTAGGTCATGAAAGGGTTAATAGAACTTGTTGGTCGTGAATGGGTTGATTCACGAGACTCACACAGTAATTCAGGCAACTGTCTTTTAACTCATCGCAGCCTTTCGAGGACAAAAGTCTTTCGTAATACAATTGTCAATTCTAGAAACTAACTTCAGAGCTCCTTTCTGTCTTTCGAAAGACTAATTGAAAATTTGCTAACGAGAAAGTCTTGGCATCATTCTGTTTATCATTTAGCAATGTTTTCTAAAACTTAATTAAACAAATATTTTTTTTATTTTTAAAACTCTAAAAATTACGAATTAAATTAAAAAAGAGAAAAATTAATTTAAAAGAAATATAAAACAAATTTTTAAATATTGAAAAAAAAATATAAAAATTTAAAAAACAATGATTCAAAATTAAAAAAAACAACACAATAAGTCCTTAAAAACTGTTTTAGTTTTTAAATAATAAAACCTAAAAATCAAAAAAAAAGTAAATTAAAAAATTTAAATGAAAAAAAAAGAAATTTTTATAAACGAAATAAAATTTAAAAAGAGATAAAATTCAACTTAAAAAAAAAGCCACAAATAAATAAAAACTAAGCAAAAGGGCAAAACATAAATTTCTAAAAAATAAATGAAAATAAAAGAACAATATTAATTAAACCACTATAATTTGAAAACATAAAGTAAATTAAATGAAGAAAATAAATAAAAAAAAAGTTTTTTTAAAGCAATAAAATCTAAAGATTAAAGCAAAAAAAACGAAATTTACAATTTAAAATTAAATAATAAAATAAAATAAAAATTTAACGAAATTAAAATATATACTTTTTTCCTTTTAAAACAATAAAATCTTAAAAATAAAAGAAAATTTAATTTAAAGAAGAACCAAAAAAATTTATTTAAATAAAGAAAAACTTCCGCTACCTGCGGTCTTCATTCACGAATCTCTCAGCCAGAGCTTCGCTTACTCGGCCATTGCGACTGTTGGAACTTGCGAGCAAAAGGGTATACAAACAAGTGCCTTCTGTCAAAAGAGCTTTTCTCCACGGAAGTTGCAAGGGAGCTTTTTAACGAGTCTTTCGGGCCAAAATAAACAATATCTTTCAAACAAAGTATCTTGCCTGCTGTCTTTGAATTGTCTTAGAAATAACTTTCAACTATCTTAGCCAGAGTTGCCCTGTTAGTCTACATTACGCTATTCTTAAGGTCTTTAGTGCAAATATGTAGTAGATAGTATGATTGCAGCCCTTTTTAATTTTGCACAAAAAAAGTGTTCACTTGACCTCTTATGCATAGGTAGCCTAATTCATTGCCAGATTTTAAGATATATATGTTTTTTTTATTAACGAGACCCAATTTACTGTATCTACGTGGCTACCACTTTTAGGAAAAATCGAAAAACGCGCTGCTAAAATAATTATAATAAAATGTTGTCGTTTTTTGCAACTTATGATATGGCATTTTTATCTGATTTAAAAGATTTGTAACTTATAATAAGTTAGAGAGACTAAAAAAATACACGTACAAAATTAGGCAGTTATAGGCACAATCTTTTTTCCAAAATTTTGTAAGAATAAAATATTACCTTAAATACTCTTACTGAGAGGTAGGCGTGGCTACAGTCATTTTTCATTCATTTTCAATGCCTTTTAAGAAGGTCAACCTAATCTCCAAGTTTCGTCAGAAGGACGGACGGGCGGACATACATAGTCCAAAAATTTTTCCCTCCATTCTGAAATTAAGTATATCTAAGAAGAATGAATCTATTACTGTGCAGCTAAAATTAGCAGCGTCATAGCGCGCAAGTCTTTCAACGTAATTTAATTATCCAAAGT